TTTTATGGCGCTCTGAGGAAAAAGCCCCACCATTGTGGTGGATTTCCTCTTCTTTGGTGTTGGGAGTTCAGTTACAAGCAACTCTTCATTTCACGACATTTGCTGATGTCATTTCCTACTGAGTTGTAACCAATCAGCACGAGGTAACCAAAAGTTCTGCCCAGCAGATCTACAATTGGCCTGGGCAGCATCGTGTTTTGCCGATAACAGCACTCTGTCGTTTTGGTGGGCGGGATGATGCGACAAAGTGAAAAGAGTTTGTTTGCAACGTCTTAATTGAAGGCGGGTTTATGAAATCGTCGCCCATCAGTTGAATATTTAGTAAAAACATCTTTAAAAGTCATAAATCTCAAAGAGTGGTGGCATAAAACCAACTGACAACATGATACCAGTTCACTCGTGTGGTCTGTTTCACCGAAATCCATTTTAAACCTAACGCCTCAAACTTCTTTGCAGCTTTTGCCGAGCTCTACTTTTGTACGGCGACCAAACGTCAAAGCACACCGCTTCAGACTGAATGCTGCTTTGATGCAAAATGTAAATGCTGCTTGAAGCTGTGGGCCATGGAAACAAAGCTGTACATATTTAAAGGGTCTTTACGGAGTTTTGAATTTTTATGCTCGCGATTGCCCCCTCAGGCCAAAAGCGTAACGGCAGCTTCAATAGTAGGCTCGTGTACGAGGCGTGCATGCTGTACGTGCACACTCCTTAACGAAAATAACAGCTGAGACAGTCCCGTGTGTGTGTGTGTGTGTGTGTGTGTGTGTGTGTGTGTGTGTGTGTGTGTGTGTGTGTGTGTGTGTGTGTGTGTGTGTGTGTGTGTGTGTGTGTGGCCTGGAGGACAGAGGACAGGAGCTAATTAATTAAATAATTTGGTTCTGTAGCTTTCTCTTCAGCACAGCCGACAAAGGTTTATGATGGGTCAGTCCTCCTGCATGTTCAGATCATTCCCTTCCCTTGCTTGAAAAATTGTTCCAAAATGAAAGTTGAACCCACATCTTTTTTATCTGTGAATTCAATGCCCGTTCGGCGAGTCTCAAATAAAAATTTGGGCATCTTCCTGTAAAATAATATACCATTAATGTAAAAAAGAAACTCTAAATAAACTATGTCCACATCTCGAATCAAAGCCAGGACTTCTGCACGGGAGTCCGACGTCTTACTAGGTGAGCTAAAGCGCCAGTTGCAGCCTCTGTATCTGTAATATTTATATCCTTGATGACAGCTGAAACAACGATCAAAGAACGGTTCGGAGTGAAAATGGCTATTTTGTTGCTAATTTGCAGGAAATATCTAGAAGAAAGTTCTACAGAAAGTAGCTAAGGGTCCTCAGAAATGTAGCTAGCTTTGTCACTAGGCGTTAGGAACAGCGACAAAGTGGCACTGCCTCTCTCTCTGCTGCTAAAGCTACGGATAGCAAATGCTACGGGCGATGCCTGAGCGTGAACGCGCATGAAGCAGCCTGCTCGACCCGAGCAGCTCTCTTTTTCTGTGATTTTACAGAAAAACAGGCAATCACAGTAAAAATGCCAGGGCTCATTCTACAGGACCAGGGCATTGCAGGAGAATGTATGAAGAAGACATTTATTATTTCTATACATGTTTTGGCTGTCAAACTTCCATAATGCCCCTTTAAAGATCATGGTAAAACCACAGGATTGATCAAATGATGGAGAACTGTTTAGTGGCCCATGATGATGGGATTCTTCATCATTCCTCCAGGATAATCCGCATCCATCCCTCCACAGTCTCACCCCAAAGACTTCCCTCCTTTGTCACACAGTCCAGAAAAGGCTGAAACCCAATAATATGGCGCCAAGCTTTGGTTCAGAACTTGTGTTATTTCTTTTTTGTTTTTATTAAAACCAGAAGTGACCTTTTTTTTAATTAGAAACGAAGCGCCGAGGACACTTAACAGCCAGACAGGAGGGAGGAATAAGAGGATTAGCCGATCTGTGGCACAAATTGTAGCATACTGTGAAGTCACAGCGGTGTGTGTTAGCGTTAGTGTTGGTTTGCCTCCTTAAGCGTGTGTGTGTGTGTGTGTGTGTGTGTGTGTGAATCCTTGAACATAACTCCCGATGCTCACTGCCAAAGATTTGACGCAAATTAAGGCTGGGATGGTTGGACGGGGTACAAACAGACAGGGAAGATGAGCTCCGGGCTTTTTATGAAGTGGGGGAACACAAATAAAGTACAGGACGTTTTTTTCTCCAGAGCTACCTGTCTGCAATCCACTTTGACCTACATCTATCTCTTCCTCACTCCCTCAAGCTGCTCCTACTCCCAGAGCCATCCTCACTTTTCTTAATCCTCCTGCTTTTTCCTGAGATAATTCCTCTCCTTTTTCCCTCCCCTGCTCCCTTCTGTCAAGTCCCCCTCTCTGGTAGACACTGCTGTCATCCTCTCTTCTCCCATGCCTTCCTTCCTCCTCTGTTTTTCACGCTCCTGCCTCCCTCCCATCCCTTTTTCATCCATCTCTCGTTCGTGTTCCTCTAAATCAGCTCTAATAGCCTGCAGAACCACACATGTTCCAGTCACGCTCACACAAAGACAAAGACGTGCAGAGGTACTGGCGCTGTAATTACGCCGAGGCCCACGTTCGAGCTTCCCAACCCGCCGATGTCGATCGTCAGACTGAGAAGCGTTATTTTAGAGGACGTAAAGCCAAACAGGAAAGATGGAGGAGCAATGAATGGGATAGAGATGAAAACAAACACGCGAGGCAGCAGAAAGAAGGCAAACAAAACAAAAATGACACCGAAAGACCAACCTGAGACCATAAAGTCAAGAATGGAAATCTGAGTAGGTTCCCACAAAGGCAACTGGTCCATTTCTGGATTTTTGGAAATTGTTTATTTGTCATCTAAAGAACATTATCGATCCAATTAGAAAAGACAGAGTCCCACGCTTTTAAAGGCACACTAAGTCCAAATTTTAATTGTTTTCTTGAGCCAGTAGGTGGTAAAATGACCCTTTACAGGGTGAATGTAGTCTTTCAGCCCCCTCCCTTCCTCAGGGGCAGAATATCGCCTTTGTTACTCAAGTCTCCGCGGACTGGTGACCCGAAGTGTCACAAAGTCGCGTGTCTCACGAGAAGCCATAACGCTTTACGGTCATCCATGTTTACACTTCAGGACATTTAATGTATCGCGTTCATCGTGGCGGAGCCGCCAAAGAAACCCTTTATCCGATGAAGCAAAAAAGAGAAGAAGAGCGTCAAACAAAGGGGTCACACAAGAGTCGGCGTCAGGGGAGCGTTTTCTGAATGGCGAGAGCTCAGAAACAAAGAAGGGTTCAAACAGGAAGCATCATGCAGGCGTGCTTGTAGTATAAGGAATACGGCGAGGGGGAGTGATTTAAAAACGCACATGTTGTAACGTTCCGGTAAAGTTATCCTGAAGTTCTGACAGTGGAAAACATGCCGTTATAGCCACACCTGCCCTAGGGACCAGGGGCGGACTGGGATGATTATTCAGTTCTGGAATACCTCCGTCTGTCCGACCGTGTGCCAAAACGCTGTGTCGGGTGGTGCTGTTCTACTCCCCTGCAGGATTTGATCCCCAGAGTCCCGGGGGGAGAGTCACACACGCTAACCAGTCAGCCAAAGGGGTATCTGGGGATTGAATCCCACCCGGGCCCTCGTTTCTCCACCTTGCCACATTTGGCGTTGTTGGCAGGATCCATGTAGTACTGTGAGGTAGGTCCATGGATTTGGAATTTGTGGCACCCTGCGCGGGAGCACGGGGACGTGCTTGTGGAACGAGGGCGGAAGATGTGACACGATGAACGTCCTGTCACTGTGTCCCGATTGATCATGCGCCCTGGCTACTTGTCTAGGGGATGTCCCTTTGACTGACTGGTTAGAGCGCGTGACTCTCACTCGGGAGTCTGGAGACTGAATTCCGCCCGGGCCCTCGTTTCTCCACCTTGCCACAATACGCTCTTCGAGCGGGGAGGAGGCGGGACCTTGCAGTAGTTTGCTCGATCCTAGGACAGGGGGTCTCCGAGCGAGTGGGGGGTGCGGACAACAGCCTGGAGAACATCCACCAGTTCTACAACCCACTGCCCGCTCTGGGATTTTCCAGAACTCACAGATGGCCAGCGTGCCTCTATCTGGGGCACAACGACGGCACCACGCCGTTCACCACCACCAGCAGGCACGCTGGGATAAGTGTCTTGCCCAAGGACACAACAACAGATGGGGCTTGAACCTGCAACCCTGCGGTTGTGGGACGGGCACTTATCTCCTCTGCCACCGTCGACCCGTCATTATTTGCCGTGTCCTCTTTGGACGAAAACAGCTTTCGCTCTTCTCCCGGAACATCCACAGCCTCTGTTCACCACACCAACCACCCTGTCCTGTCCCCGTGTCCGTCAGGTGAAAGCAGACGAGACTCGACCTGAAGAGCCGGCCGTTCTTCTGTGGAAGGGTCCGATCACTCCTCGCTGCTTTGGACTGCAAGCACAATGCCACTCAGAGGTAAAAAGGCCGAGTTGAAACGTTCCGCTTCTCACAACGTAGCTTTGAATCTAATCCTCAGAGAGTTTCATAGCAAGTAAACGCCTCACACTTGGACCAGGACAACAACGGCCCTGACAACCCCGAGAAAGGAGGGGAGAGAAGGAGAGTGGTTTGTAAACTGTACAGTTTAAAATCTTTAAATATTTCCAGTTTTACGTGAAAAAGCTCCTCTTTCCTGTGTTTTAACCTGCAAGGATGAATATGCCCTGGGTGTCTGGAAACCTTAGCCAGCAAGAAATCTGAGAGAACAAAACGTCCCGACAGTCCAGGACAAGAACCTAATGAAAGGGTGAGAAAGAACTTGGAAAATGGCATCGGTGACATATAATGAGTGAGGGAGGGTGAGAGGGAGAGTCGGCAAACTAGAGCGGTGCTCATTTGTGCACAAAAGATGTGAGCGTGTGTGTGCAGGAGAAGATACCATGAGAGAGAGAGAGAGAGAGGGGAGGGATCTGTGAGAGGGAGGAGGGAGAGAGAGAGAAAGGGAGTGATTGCATGAGATATTGTCAGCCAGTCCTGAACCAGAACAGCAGAAGCAGCGGCGGTGGACGGGACGCAGACGCTCTGAGCCGAACAGGATATAAGGGAATACACGCCGACGAGGATGCACAAAAGGAGAGGATGGGATTTTTAAAAAAGGGGCATTTCTCCTACTTCTGTTTGGAGCTTCCACAAGCAGAGCACCAGTGAAAACACATACATATGATATATATATAAAACTCCTATACATATATATCAAATTATGCCTGTTTTCAAAGAAGCTGCAGCTGGACACGGACTGATCTGACACCAAAAAGCAGCAAAGCTCGGATTTCATCTGCAACACTTGCTTAAACACTGTTGCTTATTATGATTTGGATTCTTTTTTGTCTTCAGTTTTTTTGAAAGCCAAAAAAAAAAAAAAGTATAAACCTGAGTGGTTGATCCAGCATTTACAGTTCTGTATTACAGGCTTCTTCTGAAAACAGGAATTTTGTTTATTTATTTTTTTTAGCTGCCCTTGTGGCGCCGTTTGGCTATCGCATCTCCACTTGTCTGTCGTCAGTGTGGGCTGGGCTTGTTTTATTCCTGAGAGGCTCTGAGGGTCAGTTCACGGGCTACCTGACCCCCCCTCCACACACACACACACACACACTGATACACCTTCAGCAACACGGAATAAAAATTCCCACTGGGTCCCAGAGGAGAGGGCTGGGGTAAGTTGCGTGGAAGGGGCAACGAGAAAAACACAAAAGCAAAGGATGGAGGGGCCTCAAGCATGAAGAAGTGAGCCATAAACAAACCAGGGAAGAAAAGCGTGAAAGACCTGCAGTAATTCCAGCACATCAATCTTTTGTCCCCTCGCTTCGCTGCAAGGAACAAATCTAAGGCAGGAAGATTGAGCACCAGAACAACAGCGCTTCCCCTCTGTCTTCCCTCTACGCCACCTTCGCCTGAACACAACCAAGCAGCGTCCCGGGTCCGTGGGTCCGTCACTTGGATCCGAGGAGAGGAGGAGTTCCAGGGGAGCAACAGGGGCTCTGCGCATGCCGAGCACAAAAAGCCACTGGACCCCTGAGTGTGTCGCCTAAAAGCTGCAGACTGACACTTACAGAGTCCTGCCATCAGGGAACTGAGCTGTGTGTGTGTGTGTGTGTGTGTGTGTGTGTGTGTGTGTGTGTGTGTGTGTGTGTGTGTGTGTGTGTGTGTGTGTGTGTGTGAGAGAGAGAGAGTAAAAAATAGATAAGCCTCAGGTGCAACTGGGAATCTTTTGGACTGTAATCACCGCAGGATTTGGACGAGAGTCCAGAGTGATGTTGTAAAGACGTTTAGCAGCTGTTGCTGCTTGCTTCTTCCCGACAGGAAGGAGATATCTGTGCAGATTAGGTCACATCATTCAAAAAGACCCCCGGATGATAGAGAAGAAGCAACGTTTACCAAAGTGGACTACAGTGAAAAGATGCCCACTGCAAAGATAAAAAAGCTGTTTCTGGACAGTGGCGTTGACAGAAGCGGGATGATAGATGCACGTTAAGATCTGAGAGGTGGACTTCTCAGTGCTGCACTTCTGGGTTGTTTTTATTTCCTCCTGGACACCAAAACCGATCTGACTCCAGTGTTAAGTTCTCCTCTCAGGACTGCGAGTTACTCTTCGGAGTGGAAAAACCTTCCATGTGTCCTGACTGCAACTTTGAGAGGGATCAGCTCTGCCTGCTTGCACCATCAGGAGCCCACAGTTCTCACTTTTCACGGATTATTCAAGCACGCGCTGGGGGAGCTCATTGCTGGAAATGCCAGGGCACGTTCATTCATAGGTTATACGCCCTCCTAAACTGGATCTGCCACCTCCAGGATTTGGATTTGTCTACCAGCCGTCGTTGCTGTCTGCTGGATGGCTTTGTGAAAGGTGAAATTGGCTGATTTGTTGACAGAGACCTGCTGTGGGTGCATTTGACCTCATGCATGCAAAAAGCTTCAGTCCTGGAGCGAACATGTTGAGCTGTTTGACTTTTTGCAACAAGATAAATGAAGAAAAAAGCAAGAAGTGCTGTTTGATGTTTAACAGATAAAGTTTATTCATTTCAAGAGTTAGTAGTGTAACAATGCAAGGATGCAAATTGGATTTCAAAAGTGTGTGTGAGGGGTTACAAATGGCTTGAGCGGTGGGGGTGGGGTCAGTGATTCAAGTGTTACAGTTGGTTTTAGAATATATGGTCAATAGACCTCGTTTACATGATATTTCTGACCCATTTCAATAAAAAATACATAGAAATCGTGAATGTAACAACTGCCTTAGTAAAATGCATGTGTGTGTGTTTGGGGAGGGGGGGTCGTATCAGCCCTTTACCCTCTAAATATTAAGTCCATGTTTTAGCGCAATTTGCAGGAAAAGTAATCAGGCCAATGTAATTAACAAAATAAGTTCTATTTAGTTTTGTTCAATTTCTATTGGATCTATTTTAGGTCAATAAATTCCAAATGTTTTATGCCGCCAAAAAGTGACTCATTGCGAATCTAAAACTTTTTCTTTATCCACACATTTCATAGCCTGGCAAGCCATCCTATAGGTGAATGTGTAGTTGGGGCGGGATCTACGGTTGTCTTCTAAATGTCTCTGCATGCTATTGGACAACAAACAACGTGACAAACTCAATGCTAAAGATGTCAGTCAACAGGGCAGTCCATATCCTGCATCGTTTTTCTAAATAAAGAACTTAAGAACCTCCATCTGCTCTTGACTCAAAGAGAAGCCAAAGTCTAAATAATCCAAAGTTTATGCCAAAACCGTTTAAAAACATACCTTAGTTTCGCTCTGTCGCAGCAACATCCCACCCACCAAACCGATAAAGCGCTGTGATTGGCCAGCCAACAGACTGGAGCGTGGCTAGACTGACATGCAACACAAAATAAATGGCTTTCTAGATTTCTACGCTACACAATTGAAGCAAATTCATTGAAATACTCACACTGCACCACTAGGTGGCGAGAGTGTCCACATTCCAAGGACATTTCAGTCATTTTTGAAGAGTGTTTCTGTGTAAAAGTCATGAAATAATTACTATTTTACTTGTTGGTAGCTTCCTAAACACTTTGGAGGAACATCTGTGGTTCCTGCTTCTATTGGTTCTTCTGCCAGTTTATAGAACATCGCTGGTTTAGTGTAGATCAGTCCTAAAGCATTCAAGGGCAAAGTGTGTTGCTATCATCACAACACTGGTTTGTGAAAATGGTCATTTATAAACTCCACTCCATTTTGCATCACACAATTATTTCAGTGGAAATGCTGAGTTCCTGCTGGAGCGGACCCTTGGATGGACCAGAAGTGCAGCTGAGATGATGTTTACATTTGTAGATGAGCTCAGAAGTTTGTGTAAATAAATGTGTTGGGTGAAATGATGACAAGGGAAAGGTTTATGAAATAACATTGTACAAACCAAAAATGGAAATGTAGATTTTGGAGCAGTTTTATGATTGTAGTAACGCATATTGGTCTTAAGCTAACGGCTAATTCAAGTTCAGTTATCAGAGGCTTATTAGCAGAGGCGGAAGCTGTCTACGTGAGTTGGAAAGCATATGTTTTAACAGTTTAGTAGAAAATAGCTTTACAGGTGGGATTGACTGAAAAAGCTTTTTTTAATGATTATTTCTGATTATTATTGGTTACCTTGAGATTTTCGTGCATGCTGAACATGATAGTCTTCTGATGGAAAATAGACGATGAAAATGTAGGATTTGAAAAGCCTGACCTTTGTACGTCACATCGTGAATTGGACTTTGTCATTTTGACTCACGACGGGGATGGCTATTATTGTTTTAGCTTCCAGAATGAGCAGAGAACCTCTCTTTCAACAGAAGCTAGCTGTTAGCATTCACAACTCAAACACATGGCTGAAACTCCTCGAGGCTTGTTATTTGTAGAGATAAAACTCCCATTACCGAGCAAAGTTAGTGGTAGAGTCACGTTGTTTTTATCCAATCCAAGGCAAGATGTCCGAACATCAGGAAATAAGACTCCAAATCCTCCCATTTGAAGCACAGCACTGGGGTGTTTCTCAATATCAAGGCGCCTGGCCTAGCAAGGCGACGACTTGCTATGCCAGGCACCTTACTTACGAGGACACCGTCCTTCCTTGGTCAAATAAAATGGTCAAATGGAACAGACTTGCATCACGTGACCGCAGCTTTCGCGGCGGTCATGTCACGCCACATGACGTAACGTTACATTTCATACAAATAAGTTTCACTACAAATGTTTAACGAGCCATTTACTTTTTAAATTGTGTATAATTTGGTTAAATTAAACATGTAAGCACATTAGTACCTGCTAGCCGCTGAAGCTGCAACTACTAAGCAACTAACCAACCATATCCAACTACTTTGGATCTAAAAAATAAACATTTATGTATCCGCCCGATAGCTACAATTAGTTGACTTACATTTAAACAGGAAATTTGCCCCCGAAGTAGCTGCCGCCATCCTTTTGAAAATACCGTGGTGTTTTCTGACCAATTTTTGGCCAGGACCAGGCTTCAAGACACCTCCCATGCATCCTTGCTTAGCTAGGTAAACGGCTAACAAATGGAGAACAGACACCTTTGTAGAGCATGAACACTGGAACACATCTCGGCAGTTCCTGATGACATATCTCCTAGGCAACCAGGGTGGGACCAATACATCAAGGCAAGGTTCCTTGACACCCTTGATGTTGACTGGTCCTGCTGGGCCAGGGGTTTGTGAGTTTTTATGTGCCCAGAGTTCTGCCTGCAAGGCTTTCAGTCCAACTAGAGACCACTGCAGATGTATTTGAGTCCAACTTAATCCACCTTTAAAATTGCACGGAAAAAGTAAAGGCTATCCCTTTAATATCACATCAAAAGCAAGTTTTCTCGTATTTACACATTTTTTCTCCATTGTTGTTTAGGCTTTTAAAACAAAGTAACAGTGAATTTTACAAAACAAAAGAAAGATATCTAAGTGTTTTTTTCTTTGTCATTTCAGAAGATTTTGGTCCCTTCATCTTATCGACTGGTCATCAGTGCTGAGACACTGAAAGAGACTGGAGTCCAAGATGGCCACTTCCATGTTCTCACTATTGATAAATGTCTCGTTGGCCATTTTGTTGGGTTTGACCTCTCTGAGTGGACTGAACTCTTGGCCATCGGGTCAAGCGTTGGCACAGGCTTCTTCCAGCAACCAAACAGAATCATCTGTGCTACAAGAGGCAGCACTGGCAACGCCAACACCAGACCCAGCGACTCAAACAGATCCAAGTGCTGGTAGCCGTTGCTGGGGTTACTATGATGTAATGGGCCAGTGGGATCCACCATTTAACTGTAACGCAGGCATCTACATGTTCTGCTGTGGCTCCTGCTTCTACCGTTTCTGCTGCCAGTTTAAAATCCACAGTTTGGACCAGACATCCTGTTCCAACTATGACACACCTGTGTGGGCTAATACTGGGAAACCAGGGGTGCCCATCACCGAGGGCCACCAGGAACCGGATCGGGATCGCACCCACATGATTGTGTACATCATCTGTGGGGTGGTGGCCATCATGGTCCTGGTGGGGATTTTTACTAAACTTGGACTGGAGAAGAGTCAAGGAGGGCAAACGGATATGACCAACTCCAGGTAAGAACTGGAATGGGATAAATGGATGGATGGATGGATGCATGCATAGATTGATGGATGGATGCATGGATGGATGGATGGGTGAACCAGGTCGACAATTCAGACCTGGAATATCTCCATTTGTCCAGGCATATGCATTAGCTGTGGTGGTGTTGGGGTGGGGGTGTGTGTGCTGTTGGAAAAGTCCCCTGTAGTAACTACTCTGAGCAAGGGGGCGGAACACACCCACTGGTCCTAGAGCACCAAGGAGGTTCTGAGATTCTCCAGAACTCACAGATTGCCAGTCCTCCGATGGATTGATGGATGGATGCATGCATAAGTGGATGGATGGATGGATGGATGGATGGATGGATGCATGAGTGGATGGATGGATGGATGGATGGATGGATGGATGCATGCATGAGTGGATGGATGGATGGATGGATGGATGCATGAGTGGATGGATGGATGGATGGATGGATGCATGCATAAGTGGATGGATGGATGGATGGATGGATGGATGCATGCATGAGTGGATGGATGGATGGATGGATGGATGGATGGATGGGGCCTGTTTTGGATATGTAACCCTACAACAGTGTAAACTGTGCACAAGATTCCATCCAGCACCCATTTGGGAATTGCCTAAAAATTCAAAGGGTTATACGTCTCCATCAGTTCAGGTGCAGAGACACACACAAACACAGACTTGGGGTGTGTTGTAATGCAATTCCCTTCCAGGACCACAGAGGGTGTAGCGCCGCTGTTGCAGTCATGCCTCTGGTTAACGGTAGTGTATTTGCTTTAGTGTTTTTGTATTTATTTTGTGTTTAACTATTTCTTTTTAACAGAGACAGTTTTAGTCACCCCTTCACCCACCTCCACCCCTAACCCATGTTTCCTGTCCTTTAATTTTAGGAATTAAAATTATGCTGCATATCTTTGTTCTCTTCCCATCGTGTGTACAAATGTTTCTATTGTTGGACTTCTTCAGAGAGGCGTTTTCCGATCTGTTCCGTGTCTGTTGCTAGGTATCGTCGGCAACCAATTTTTTCGGGAGGAAATCATGCAATCACATGCTTACGCTTCCTGTAGATTTCGACAGACAGTTCAAAAATTGAGCATGCCTCCGTCACCCTCTGTGGGCCTGCTGCAACGTCCTTCTATCGACGCATCGTGGCATTGCGTGTCTTTGTTGCTCTGCTGATGGTGACATATCCTTCTGTTTCATTGCTTTGTGATTAATTGTTGCACAGTGGCATAGACAATAAAAATGACAGACTGCAGAATTGGAAATTTCTGCCAATGCGTTATAGAACGTCACCAGCCAGGTAATCAATACAGAAACTGGACGTAATAACTGGTGAGGTGATAACTGGCTCAAAGGCTGTTTGTATCCATACAGATGTAGCAGACCTTCTGCGTGAGAAGAAGAGATGAAGGACATAACAGGAAATGTAGAGACTGGCAGCGTTCAGGAAGCAGGAAGTAGAGTTCATAGGAGAGCTGTTGATGTTTGATGGGAAATGACCAAACACTGTGACTGTGTTTTATTTATGTTGGTGTTGCAGTTCCACATTGATGACCGATTGATTGCAGTGACACAACTATGACTGTGGCCTCCAGAGAACAGTGAGAAGAGTGAGGGAGGTTTTGGGTGGGATATTGAGCGGATCTGACTGGAAAGCAGCCAACGGCTAGTGAAAAGAGCAGAAGAATGTATATGTTTGTGTGTGTGTGTGAGTAAGTGAGAGAGTGAGAAAAAAAATTGTAGAGTGACAAAATGGGGGGGGGGGGGACGGGGGGACGTGAGGTGTTTCTCAATGTCAAGGCGCCTGGCCTTGTGAGGCGATGTCTTGCGAGGCTTACGAGGACACTGTCCTTCCTTGGTCAAAGAAAACGGTTAAATGGAACAGACTTGCATCACGTGACCGCAGCTTCCACGGCGGTCACGTAACGTCACGTGACACGGGAGACAACATTAGATTTTATACGTATTAGTTTCAGTATAAATATATAACGAGCCTTTTACTTTTTAAATTGTGTATATGTTTATTAAATTAAAAATATAAGTGAGTTACTACCCGCTAGCCACCGAAGCTGCATCTACTAAGCAACTAACCAACCACAGATAACTTCTTTGGATCTAAAAAAAAGTTTTAAATTAGCTGACTTACTTTTAAACTTGAAAATTGTCCCTGAAGTAGCTGCCGGCTTCTGATCCGCCGTCTTTTTGAAAATACTGCGGTGTATTGTGGGTAATTTTTGACCAAGGCTAGGCTACAAGACACCTCCCATGTATCCTTGCTCAGCTAGCTAAACGGCTAACAAACGGAGAATACACACCTCGGTAGAACATGAACATTGCAACACGTCTTGGCGGTTCCCGATGACGTATCTCCTAGGCAACCGGGATGGGGCCAAGACATCAAGGCAAGTATCCTTGGCATTGAGAAACACCCGTGGTGTGGGCTGAGTGTGGTCAGTCAGCCAGTTGGTGTTAAACAGTTATAGCACGGGAGCTCCTTTAAAATCCAGTCAATACCTGATCTTTTCCAGACTTCCCAAAAGAAGATAACCACCGAACTTAATGATAAGGTTCAGTAATTGGAAGGCTGCAGGTTGGATGCCGGCTGGTGGTGGTCGAAGGGACCCGCAGCGCCAGTGCTCGGTAGCCTCGCCTCCGTAGGGCAGCTGTGGCTACATTATAGCCCATCATCACCAGTGCGTAAATGGGTGGATGATTGTGTTGTAAAGTGACTTGGGGGGTCGTAGACCCCTAAGAAGGCGCAATACAAATATAGGTAATTTAAACTGTAACGAGTCATCAATGACATTTTATTCCCTGAAACAAACCATTACGGGAAAAATATAATCAAAGGATTGTTTGAACATTTGTTTGGAATCCAGACTGAAAATGAACTCGTGGAAGTTATTGTCCTTGAAAAACCTTGAGATGTGGCTTCCAGTTTTAGGCTTGGTGATACAGTTCTTAGCATTGTTGTCTTGTAGGAAGATGGTCACGGGTTCAAATCCCAGTAGTGGCTTTTCTGAGTCGGCAAGTTCTCTGCCTACATGTGTGTGTTTTCTTCAAGGCTCCTCCCATAGACACAACACATGCACGTAGGTTGATCAACAACCTTAAATCATGCTTAAAATCAAATTCACTGAGAAATCGGTTTTAACTTTGTAATTTTGCAATATGATCAGTCCCTCCACTGAGTCATTCATTCATTCAGCATTCATCGACTCACCCATCTTGGCTCGCAGCGGGGAAGGCTGTTGGTTTAGCGTCCAGGAAACAGCAGAAAACACCTCAGCTAGAAGAAGCTAACCATTAGCGTTAGCAACTCCACCACACGGCATAGCTCCTTCAGGCTTGTGTTATTTGTGGAGATAAAACATCAGCGTTGCAAAGCAAAGGGAGTGAGTAAGTAAGGGGATTAAGACTCCAAAGCCCGCTGTGTTCTACTCCCCACTTCTCTGGCTCAATGCTACTTCCTAAAACAGGAGCGCCAGAGCTTTCCCCCCACAGAGATCAGCTCACAGAGCATTCATTTATACCAGAGACCACTACAGATGTATGGAAAAAAATGAATGAACTACCTTTATATGCAACACACGCTTGCATTCACACAGACGTTTAGCCATAGCCAGGTGTAGTGAAGGAATGGCTAAGGCAGATACCAAACATCTCAGTCCAGAAAAGTGCAGCTCTAGGAACAGCTAAGATACTGCGCAGAACCCTCAAGCTCCCAGGATTCTGGCAGAGGACACGAGCTTGGAAGGATGAGACCATCCGCGGAGGGTGGGATGGGAATTTGTTTATATATGACCAATTTTTTTTACAGAAAAAAACCCCAACCCCAACAAAAAATTAAAAAGCATCCAGTTTTAGAGTAAAAGGTGACAACAGGCTATTGGTACTGCACTTTTTTGACAGAATCAAAGATTCAAGTCAACTTTGTTTGCAACAGCTCGTGTGCACATTTGTCTCTAGGAAACGATTATGGTGCAAAAACAACTACAAAGGGACAGATGGTCACATAAAGATGGAAATAAATGTCATGGCAGGAATTCAGAATAGCTGGAAACAATAAAAGTGCAAAAAATATTTGCAATGTGACCAGTAATTAGTGCTCTGTTTGGACAGTCGCTGTCATGAATCATAACACACGTTCCTACAAACGAGAGAGAGAGAGAGAGAGAGAGAGAGAGAGAGAGAGAGAGAGAGAGAGAGAATGCTGGGGACCCATTTTACAACTCAATAGTCAACCACAGCTGTTTATTTTATATCTTACTAAGTGTGTGTGTGTGTGTGAGGTAAGGAAAGGAATAAGATGGGGACGGTGACATGAGAGCTAACCTCTGTAATGGTGTCTACTGGAGCGATAAGAAGCGAGGGATGAAAGGATGAAAGTTGGAAGTGAAAAAATAATCGATCCTCTGATATTGCATCTGAAAAGATTTTACACATTTAACTCATTAAAATGTGAAGTAGACTGAAATACGTTTACTGGTAAATGAGATGGTTAAGTGAGTAAAGGGTGATGTGTGTAACTAAGAGATAGTACCAACTACACATAGCCCTTACTAAGGACTGATGAGCTAATGGCTGAATAGTCTTGACCAAAGTTTCTTAAAGGTGATATTTGCAGAGAAACATAAAATCCCTGTTAGTTGAAAAATGATCAATCACGCAGTTTCACACGCAGGATGAATGGGAGAATAGTCTTGTACCTCTACATCCTGCATTAACCGCAGATAGTAAATAGATGCGCGAAAGAGCTTGGATCAGAAAAAGATAAATGCTGCAGAGCAAATGGAGTCAGTGGTAGAGCCACGTTGCTGTTAGCCAATCAGAGGCGAGATGTCAGAATATCGAGAAATAGGACTCCAAATAAAACATCCACGCTGCATTTTTACCTACAAAAGATAAGCGAATGGTAGCCGTCGAGTTGCTGTTAGCCAGTAACCCCAAATGCACGCTGGAAGCATCAGCGACGCAGAATGGCAGCGGA